GTTTCTAAGTGTCCTGCACTGTAAGACCCTGAAGAACTCTGATATAACTCAGATGTTAAATTTTGCATAGAAATTCATCAAATACTGCATTTGTATATAGTAAATTTTTAAAATTTGACCTATTTTATACGTCTATTTGGCTAATATGATACAAACTCAGATCTGAGTTGTATCAGAGTTCTTCGTGGTCCTTACGTACTAGGGTGTCCAGGATTATGATCTGGCATAATATGCGCATAATTTGCGATTTTTACTATATGAAATCGCATAATCAGCTCACTTTCATGCAGCATGTAAACAAAAATTGATTGGTTAAATGTTGTTCCTGTGACATTTACCAGATCATAATCCTGGACACCCTAATACGTACGTACCTTTAAATTTTTTTTAGATAGGGTTAGGCCAGATTTGATAAATTATATAGTAAATTGTTTTTAATTAGGCCACAAAGCTAGTTTCTTATACAGACTTTTGAAAATAAGGGATTTTTGAGAAAGCAAGCGTTAATTTTGAATTTTTCTGTTTGTTACACCTGACATAAGAATATAATTGTTTTGCTCCAGTTAAAGCTTATATATAACTTGCCAATGATAAAGCCATTCTAACTATATTAATTATTAATTATATATTAAATTAATAATTAGCTGTACTGCATAATAATTAACGTTCAAGGTTATCTATAGCTTGCTAGCTTAACCTTTGGTTTATACATGGTTTAATTATAAATTAAGCTATGCTTCAAACCACAACTTATACTATGAACTTTTGGTTAAATGTCTACTGTATAATCAGTATAGTGTTGCCATTATTACACTATAATTTATTTTTTTTAAACAAGTAACTTACAAAATCATGGAGCATACAATTGAAACGATTATAAACCATTTCTATAGTAAAAATTTGTAAAGTTAGGATGTCTAACCAAAATTCATAAGCATAATTTTATAAACTTCATATTGAATTTTCGTGTCACGTGACCTCAAGTTATCTTACTTTATCTTGAATTTAAAAAATAGGATTAAGTCTTAAATAAATGATTAATACGTAGCTTTGTACGTATTAAAATCAGGCATACAACATAGGTTTATTTGATTTAAAACTAACTATATAATATATATTATATAACATAAAGAAACAAGAAATAAGAAATACAAGCAAAAGAGAGCAGGCATCACTTAATATGAAACCAATCCACTAATAAAGGGATCAAAGTATATACTATAAGGATCACCAAACAAATAATGATTTTCATCTTGCATTTCGTGATCTACTGGTGCTTGTTGCTTCTTTGAACGAGATTTTTTTTTTTTTTTTTTACCTTCGATGAAAGGTATAAAAACTTTGTCAGGGTTGCGTTTGTTTGGTCTTCTTTTAAGGGTATCATGAATTGGATTAACTTGCATTTGCTCTTTTACCCTATCGGCAAGGTGTTTAAATTTATCTCGGATTTCCTCCATTTCTTTCCAATACTTTCGCGCTAGATCTCCAACCATGTGAACGCGTTCCTTGCCCGGGATGTTAAATTCATCGCATATTTGCTGATAAAGATTATGCTCAGGATTAGTCATTTCTTTGTGAAAATCCTTTTTAAATATCATCCAACAATTTAGTTGCTTAAGCGCATGACCGTCCTTAGTTCTTAGATTAACGTATAAGTCGGGATCAGCAAATTCGCATTGCTTCAGAACCTTATCTCTTACTTCTTCGATCTCGTGACGAAATCTCTGGAGCACTTCATTGACGCGTGAAGGTATACGACGCGTACTCATATTGATACTTAAGACAATCTCAAAATTTAGTTGATATCTTTATTGAATTTTAAATTAGACAAATCCAAAAATCTGGTTAGTTATTTACTGATGAATTTTGATAGTTTAGCATCTGGGCTTTTTATAAATTTTTATAAGAGTGTCGGTGAAATAACCCCGAGCATCTATAATGAAAGAATTCATGATTCATGAAATTTAATGCAAGTTATCCCGCAAAGACCTTATTACTTCCATTTAAGATGGGATAATGAACATTACTAATTTATTGATTTTTTTTTTCTTATTTGTTTAGAAAACTATAATGCACATGGTTTGAAATTCATTGTTAAATTATATAAATTTGAACATGCCAAGATTACATCATTATGAAATTTTTTTTTCTACCTGCTAGATAAATTTCCAAGATTATTTGATAAGGTATTAAAATCAGTATATCGGAAAAATAAGAACTATCAATATTTGGTAATTGACACAACGCAAATAAACATTACATAATAAGTTACGTATTGTTCAATATATAAATATATAATGAACATAATTAAATGAGCACCTTTTATGTGCATGTGATGACGTTACTAATACATTTCGGAATATAAGTCCCAGAACACAATGTATGTGGTACGAACTAGCATTTAGGACCATCTGGTAAAGCATTATTTTTCCAAATAAAAAGGAAACATTTGAGTCCAAATTTCTAGAATTCTTAAAAACACTCATTTAGTGATCATGCATTACATCCAAGTGATCGATGACAACTTTTATGGCAACATAATGAAAATTGTTCATGATTATTTATGTAAATAAAAAATACCTTATGTATCTATTGCTCCATACTCTTTCCT